ATGCACAAAGTGAGCTCAAGCCCTTGAGGGAGAGGCGACAAGTGTCACAGCCAGCTCGCAAATCCCCAGGAGAAATCCCCAAAACCAGCGTACAAGGAGAGCCGTTGGAATGGGTCCTTGGCAAAAGTTTCATAGCTAGGAGTATTCCTGTGTAATATTTGCTGTAACTGTGTTTCCTTCTTCGTACATATCTAATTTTGTGAAATATTTAACAGTGCGAAAATGTTTATGCTCACGGTGAAAGAGAATGCATAAAATACTATTTTATTTAAGCATATGGATGTATATGTTTGTATAGCTTTCTCTTGGCCGTTTTTGTGCGAGTGCTCACAGAAGGTGACTGTCTTTACGTGATAAAGTAAGAATGATACCTGCAGAATCCTCCCTCCTCCGAAAGAGAATAAATGAATTTTTAAAATGGCTTCTAAATATAAAAAGCATTGATTTTTTTATTATTATTTTTAAGGTGGTCTGTATAGTACACTGTACAGGAGAGTGAGAATCACAGTCCAGGAGCTACATCTCTGTTTCCTGCTTAAAAAATAATAACCCAAAGCAAGCAATTAAGGCCGTTAGGAATGTTTAACACAAACAGCTGTAATCTTTACCTTTTGTGTCCTTCAGCTAGAACATAGTCAAGTGGCAAAACCTGTGCTGGAGAATCAGGGGTTTAAGTGAACTAATACAGCATGGGTGTGCAGCGCGTAGGAGAGGAAGAGGAGAAGAAGAGGAGAAGAAGAGGAAGAGAAGAAGAGGAGAGGGAGAGGAGGAGAGGGTCCGTGCGCTGGGCCGGGCAGGGCGCAGCGGGCACGGGGAGGCTCCGGCCGGCAGCACCTCGGCATCGCCGCCCTGCCCCTGCGCTGACAGCCGGAGCCCGCCCGGGAAATCAATACCCAGGAGCCAGGAGGGAAATATTTCCAGCCTCTAACTAGAGAATGTGTTTTGACAAGGCCAAGATAATCCAGGCTGCATGGCAGAAAGGGAAAAGAAGACTCATTTTTAAAGCTTGACACTTCAAGGTGTTTTTGTGCAGCCGTTTAGAGAGAGCATCGATACATACAAATACCAAAGGTCACCGAGGAAAGCCAGGAGAATTTCAAAAATTAGATGCACTTTTTTTTTTTTTTTTTTTTTTTTTTTTTTTTTTTTTTTGCTTCATGAAATGTAAAGATGGTTTAATTTGTGTGTGGATACATAGCTGCGAGAGCATGTGCTTCCTTCCTGCTGTATATCTGCATTCAGGGACGTTAATTGGCTTTGATTTGGCATAATTGCATTTTGATGCAAAACGATCAATATTTTTTTTCGTTTCTGCAGCATCATTTCTTGATAATTTAATATCTGGCCCTGTTCTTGAGCCCGGTAGGAAGCGCTCAGGAGTGTGACCGTCTCCCCTTGGCCGCTGCCCTGGAGATGCGCGGCCTGGGAGCGCCCGGGGAGCGGGACGGGGAGCGGGACGGGGAGCGGGACGGGGAGCGGGACGGGGAGCAGGACGGGGAGCAGGAGCGCTGCAGCGAGGAGGCGTTGGCGCTTTGGTGGAGCGCGGAGGAAGGCGGCTGCCCTGCGGTGCCCTGCGGTGCCGCCGTGTCCTGCACCAACCCCCGGCACGTCGCCATCCGCCCGGCGCCGCACGAGGGACACGACGTGGCCGCCGTCGGGCAGSGGTCCCGGTGCCGGTGCCCTCCACCCCTCGCACCACTGCAGCCCGTGCTGGGGTTTACTGGGGCGCAGGGGGCGTTTTCGCAGTGTAGAGGGGGAGTGAGGGGCGCAGTGCCGCTCGCGGCGCTGCGGGGCAGGGCTGGGGCCGTTCGAGGCCGAGCGCCATCACCTGCGGTCCCGATCCATAAGTGACCAGTGTCCCCTGAGGGCACGTGGGTCCCTCCGTGTGGGACGGGGCCTCCCTGYGTCTGCGTGGGAACTGCAGCCCTTGCACATTCCTGCCGCGTGCGCTGAGTCGGGAGCCGTGTAAGGAGCACGCGGYGCTGGGCTGGGTCGGGGTTGATCCTGCCTTACTGCTCCTCAAAGTGCAGCGCATCCCAACTCGGACCTTCTCGGACAAGCCTGTTCCAAAGCCGTATCAGAATCCATGCGAATGTCTCTTTGGAAAAGCGAATTCCCGGCCAAGCCCGTTCCTTAGGCGTCTCGCCCTGTCTCGGACGGCATTGCACGTTGGGTAGGGGAGCCGGGCAGCCCCCGGAGGGCAGAGCTGCCTCCTGCTGCTCCGTGTGTCCTCCCGCACGGGAGCAGATGTCACCTCCTGCCTGCTGCGCTGGGTGCCCAGGGTGCTGCTCCGGAGCCGGGGGCGTTTCGGGATGCGGAGAGCGGGAGCAGGCGGCCTGTGGAGCTCCTTGGTGCTGCATCGCTGCTCGGAGCCCTGCAAAACCACCAGGACCCAGTTGGGGAACCGGGACCCAGCTGGGGCTTCCACGTCCACCACATAGAGGAGTCCAGATGGTCCSACTTTGCACATTAAACCCCTCCCCGGGTTCTCCCAGTGTTTGAGCTGTTTGAACACGAGTGGAAGGAACACAAATTAAAGAACATCTGCTCCACTAACACCGCAGCTTCAAATCAACATTTTTTGGCATAATTGGTGGTAGGTTAAGTCCTGAAAGCAGCATCTGTTGGGCAGGATCTGGTTGCAGGGACGAACGAGCCTGGGTTCTGTGAACGCAGAACGGGGCTCCCGTGTTGCAAACAGACTGGGCCTGGGCTCGAGCAGACACCAACACATCCCTGGGAATGGAGCTCCTGCCGGAATACAAATATCCGCAAAAATGTGTATCCAGCGGCCGGAGCCGTCAGTGTGATAAATTGACACTTGATGGCAATAGTTGCCTAGAGCTCTTTGAGAAGGAGGGCTCAGGGGGAGCCTCCCCGGATCTCTGATGTCTGAAAATTAAAAATTAATCCTGTATGAAAAATTAAAAGGTAAAACTTTCTGCTGCAGCAGCACGGCTCCTTGAATGTTGATTTTGTTTCTGAAACAGAGGCTGAATGTCATCTGCAGGAAGATCATTGTGGGTGGTTACATTTGGGATATGTGATTTTAACAGATTTTAGCAAATTGGAAACTGATTTGCAATGGACCAGAATAGCTTAAAATTTGGGGAATTGGATATTTATTTACTGAAGTAACTGTTTTTAAATAGAGGCGATTTATTCACTCCTGTGGAGCTACTCCCAGTTTTCCATACAGTAGAAGAAATCTGCTGGTTTTCCTACAGACGTGCTGGTGTGCTCCGCTCATCCTGCACATGGAAGCCAATACGTGCGACGGCAGCTGGAGCTGCGGGAGCCTCCCGGGCGCTGCGATCCTGGGGGATCAGCACGCGGAGAACGGAGAGCCCCTTGGGGCCTTAGAGCCCTTTCAGGCCCCTTTTTAGGGGAGCAGCCCGCCCTGCCCTCAGCTCCCCGYGCTCGCTGCTCTCCCAGCAGGATCGTCGCTCCTCACCCTGCTCATTCCCCCTGAGCTGCCGCAGGGCGGCCGAGGGGCGTCCCCGCCTCGTCTGYGCTTGTCCCCGAAGCAGAGCGTAACCAGCGCCAGGCCAAGGGGCAGTGGGTGCCAGTTGCAGCGCAGGCAGCTCCATGTGCCCGTGAGGAAGAGCTTGTTTGGGGTGAGGGTGCCCAGCCCTGGCCCAGGCTGCCCAGGGAGGCTGCGGAGGCTCCTGCTCTGCAGATCTGCCAACCCGCCGGGATGKGACCGGGTGCCCCGAGCTCTGGGTGTCCCTGCTGGAGCAGGGGCTGCGCTGGGGGATCTCCAGGGGTCTCTCCCAACCTCAGCCCTCCTGGGAGATAAGGAGA